GACATTTTATAACTGAAAAAGCCAAACAGAGTCATTGTGGTAGCCTTGGTTCCCAGGAGCTTGATCCTGTTGGGAGAATGTTGGCTATGTCCTGCTGGATCACTAACCTGAAGAGTTTGTTCACTTCCTTGATTAGAGTGAGGGAGTGGCTTACTATGAGAGAGAAAGGATGAATAGTCTGAGAATACAAAAATTAACAGCACATCGAGGTGGAAACAAGGGTTTGAACTGCTACATATTCTTTGTTTTTTTAAGGCAAGAGGAGTGGTAAAATGGAGCTTTGCACAGAAGGTGTACAGCTGCCTGTGTGGAACAGGTTAGAAAAAGCACTTGCTCCTATGTTAATTCTCTTAATCTTGTTACTTTCTCTTTAACCAGCTTAAACTCATGATGTGTGGGTAAGGATAAAACCTCGGTCATTGCTATGTACTTAAGAAGGGACAGCAGTTCACATTCTAGATATGTGAACAATGTTTACCCACACTGGCATTTTACAGCTTTCATTTTCTTCCTGCTATGCTCAATAAAAAACACTGATTGCCCCCATAATCTGACTGCCATCTTTTCTGGGTGACATTTACTTCAGGGTCCTGCTACCCAGCGTTTGTGCTTATAGTTTTCCAGCATCAAATTCTGAAAAACTCTATCTGTGAGACTTCAGCCACCTGGTTATAACCTCTTCAGCCCATCAAGTCTCCATCTGGAAGACTTTTTATTCTGCTTGTATTGCTTATGCTTCTCTACTGTCTATTATGGCTTATATCTTTCAAGCACATGGATAACCAGGGCAACTTCTTAGCTAATGCTCGCTTGCACTGACTTCCTGTTCAAACGTCACTACAGCTATTGCAATCAAAAAGAGGAGAGGTACGAAGTTGTTCTTTTATATACACTGGTGACGCTGGCAGTTGAACAGCCCAAGAAGGTGGGGTAAGATGCTTGCCTGGCTCTGGAAGCTGCTCAGAGTAGGGGTCAGGAAGGAACTGCTTCCTGCACACTGCAGCTTACACCCCATTTCCTTTCTCCGGAGCCACATGCTCTTTAAAAAGCCAAATTGAAAACATGGCCATTCCGAATTACAGCACTACAGAAACTTCTGCTCTTCCAGGAAAATTTCTGGTGGCGATAGTCTCTGGAAAGCGTGATGTCTCTGAAGATTTTGAAGCCCAGTGGCTCTGGAAAGACTTGCTAGGAGTCAGAAGGGCCACTCAAAGCAAGCAAACAGGGTAGTTCAGAAGTTATAACAGAACCACAACCTGAGGTCCCATACATTTAAGTATCAGGAGCCTGGGAATTTGGGGTAAAATGAGCATTATTAATGACTAACGGGGGACATGAAAGGATTGGCTCAGAGATGGGGGAGGCTGAAAAATATGTCAATAAGCTTTTCCTGAAAACAAGAGTTTCCTTTTCAACCCATGCCATGGAGCCACGAATGGGTTCACGTAGGTTGAAAGCATGTTTGTGATCAGCACACCTGCCCCAGCTCCCATGGAAGGTCTCCCACCACTTTGGGAACTCAAGACTCCTAGTGCTCATTCTAGGCTTAAAACTTTAGACTACACGGTCTGCACTGTCTTCAGCTTCAAATATAGATGAGGTCATGAACCTCAAAATGCTGGAATCTATGTTTGGAGCAGGTTTGTGTGTTCACAGAGAGGTCTTGGTTCACGATGGGGTCAGAGGCACTGTGGTGATACAAACAAATGAAAACCTCTCCATCTCAAATAGAAGAATGTGCACCAGTGAGGAAGGGAATTGTTCTTTCCACCCCAATCTATGCTTTCTAAGCATTAGAAGACACTGGCAGTAAAAGCACACTAAGCAGCAAAGTAGTCCTGAATCTTGTCATCTCACCCCATCTACAGCCAACCACAAATAATCCTGGGAAAATACTGGCCTCAACAATCATTTTCAGTTTCCTTCTGAACCACTTGCAAACATATCTGCATATATTACTCACTGACAATCTCCAGAGAGAATCCAGCTTGTCTCAACAAATAAATCAAAGCATCTGGAGTATATTCTGAAAAGAGTTGAGACAACAGAGCCTGTAAGCATCTAACAGCTTGCTTCAGCAATGGAAACACCAAGTCCAGCAATTAGATACAGCAGGTCTTCCGAATCAATTGTTCCTAAGCAGAGTCTATTTTCTGAAAGATAACAAGGGAATTCACAGACATTAATATTTGCAAATAGCTGAATATAGCAAACTGACAAAAATAGGAACTGCCTTATATCCTTTCCAACAGCAGATCCTGATTGCTGGGCTGTTAATTTTTGCTGGCTTCCCAGCATATACTTTCCATGGCGAAGGCACTGGCACCGCTCAGGTAACTTGCTGAAGTCAAGAAGCGGAGGAGTAGATCCATTTTAATGTAAATATTTTTTATGAGTAGTTGTTTGGCTGAAGCTTTGAATCACAGTCAGTGATAGCATGACTTTGTGTTTTGTAGCAATTACAGTTCAATCAAGGATTATGAGGACAGGTTTTTAAAGAGCCAACAGATATATCTTGTTTGAACGATTAAAACCAAAGCAAACATGAACTAAAGTAGCTGCAATAACAGGGATCTTGCTACCCACTGGTATCTCCATACTGTACAAAGAACAGATTAACTCTGACAGCAAGGTCTCAGGAGATTCATATCTCTCTATAAACAGAGAATGGGACTGAGACTCACTACGTGCCATTTTTGTTCACTGGTCTTTAAGGCAGAAAGGATTTTTGCCTTTCCACATCCCAAGACTCAAGAGTCTATCCCCATCAAAAAATTGCTGGCTGCTACCAGACATGAAGGCTAATGTCCTACAAGCATATGTAACAATGATTCATGTGAAAAACAAAACAAAGCCAAAAACAAAACAACTAAAAACTTTACTTCTTGCAGTTACTGCAACATGCAGACAGAAATCACCAACTTGGTCTTAGCTAAGATCTGGCTGGGTCACAGGAAGATGGAAATGAGGTAGTCAGTCAAACATGGCTTTGAATGCCAACCTGTAACCAGCTCATGTTACATGATAATTTCTAACTGTGTCACAAATACAGGGGGGACGTTCAGATAGACCAAAGCTTCCCTGAGCAGGGCTGGACAACTAGGATTTCACCCCATTGGGACTAAACAACATCACAAAACCAATCTGCTCTGATTAGTAATTAGTTCTATTATAATACTGCATATTAACTGTAGCTTGTGGTTGGAGGCTGTATATACTCCTAGCAAATACAGCTGTTACCCCAAAGGTTTTATAGTTAAAAAAAGGACAGACAATATGATAGAGAAAAGAGAACAATGAAGTATTGGGAATTTAGACAGACAGACATGAACTGCCTTCTACCAAGGTCATGCAACTGCTGAACTTAAGTATTCAGTCCTGCTATTTACACTTTAAGCATACTACAAGCCTGCACTCTTGCTGGAAGTTTCACCATCACCAGGACAGGGCTGATTCTGGGAATTCCTTTGCAGAAGACAACTGAGGTGCAAATATTGAGTCTAGTGTTTTCTAAGTGAGCTACAGCAAACCTTCAAAACAAAGTGCAGTGGTGGCTTAGAAAAAATTAGGAACTCGTTTGCCATTTTGTGTGGTCGTACTTTGTCCAGGAGATAAAGCTACTCCAATCAGAACAATCATCAAAACAACATTGCTTTGCCTGTGACATTGCCACAAGAAAGGATCAGTCCAGCATTAAAAATCCCGGGTGGAAACATGATACTTAGGCAGGGAAAGGCAAAATAGACTGGATTATGTAAATGAGAACTTTTTCCCATAAGGTTGCATCTACCCAGCAGGACACAAACATACCTGAGAGGCTTGAGGAGATATAAATACCCATTCCTTTTTACCTTCTTGTTCTCTTTGCTGACTCAGCGATTTTGATTGTTCTAGTGTTGCCACTACCATCAGCCTTTGTGCAAAGTATTCTGGAATTTGATCTCAGCATCTTTGAAAGCTCTGTACGTAGGTTGGATGGTGGCTGGAGCACAGCATCCATGGGGCTGAATTCCTTAGCAGCAAAGGCAGGCCTCCACGGCCCTCTCTGTGCGGCCTGGAAAAAGGCATTCTACCCAGGATGCAGTCTAGAATTTAGGAAGCCCTCCTTTACTCCACCACAAAGAGTGTTTATAGTAAGTGTCACCATGAGCATCATTGCTTGGCATTCTGGTTTTGACAAGGAGTCATTATTTTTGCTCTCTTTACTGTACCTGAAATTCCAACAGAAGCTTCGTTTTCCCTAGCAGTGTCACTAGTTGAATGGTGATGATCGATCTGCAAGATGTGGACTCAGTCAGGATGCTCCTGTTTCCCTTCAAAAGATCAGCAGTTAGCAGTTCTCTGTTGCAGGAAATGGAATAGTGCCCACTGTGGTCATGGGGTGCCCGTAGGATTTCAGTCTCTTACGGTGGGGTACAGTTTGGTTCACAGAAGAGCAGCAGAATCTTTCTAGCACCGTGCCCATACTGTGCTCACCCTCTGCATCGTGTGTAACGGCCTCTTGCTATCTACTGGGTGGACTGGACTCTGTGAGCTGTAACTCATCTTGCCTCTTAGCTTACTGGTGACTTGTTTTTATACCTACTCCAGTCAGGAGTCCTTGCTTCCACTTTTTGACTTCCTTCTTAATCCCCTGGTCATTTAAGAGCTCCTAGTGCAGAGATATGTCGATCTCTTCTGTGTTCTTTCCTTGCCTTTGCACTAAGATGATTTCCTACTGTCTCTTCAAAACTATTTGTTTCAGAAACCAAGGTATCTCTTGCACTCCTTTACCCCCAAGACAAACTTCTGAAAGGCATTCAAATGCATCTAAGTTACTTTAAAAATGGAACTTGATATATTTATGAAAAGAAGATTCTGACCAAATATTCTTTGCTACCAGCATAGGAGAAATAATAAACCATGAGTATCTTTTAAAAACTCACCTGGGAGTCCTGCTTCCCAGCACACTGCAGAAGCACCTGTTTTGTATGTAGGTATTTGAAACATTACAACAAACATCAGAAACAGAAAAGATTTATTAGAAATATTACACAGATTTTTGCATCATACATTTTAATAATGTTAATCTTTAAATATTAGCATGTCCAAATTTGGCAATGCCTAGTATATACATTCTAATGTGCTCTTTGTATAAATTAGGTGATGATGTAACATCTGTACCCAATAGAGAAAGCTGAAAGTACTTAACTGTTAGAGGGGATTATCTCATATGACAAACTCAAGCCTGGACCACCAATCAATAAAAACATTGTGTCCAGCATTGCCCAGTGGAACTTGGCACATGTGCAAGTCAAAAATGTAGAGACCATCAGTTGAGAAAAATGTGAATTGCAGTTCAGTTATAAGCTTGATTCTACACCATATTGGTGAGTGAGTCTAAATGGCACTGGAGTCGGTAAAAACCAATACAGTCTAGCATAGTAGAAGTTATTGCTGGGTTTAAAAACGTCTTAATGCTCAGTGCCCTGAGTCTTTTTAGGCAAAAGCCCTCTTCTGACAGGAAAATGCATAATCTCATCCCATCCAGGCTCTGCCTTTTATCAGATACACAAGGCACAGCTCTGCAAACAGCTGCCCCGTCAGATACTTCCTGCTGGAAGACCTGGTACCATAAACACAGAAAGATGAGGGAGATACAGACAAACTAATGAGCCAATGCTCGTGTTTTCATTCCCCTTCCCAAGTAAAGGGGAAAGTCAGTGAAGCAAAAAGGTAGATTTTTAAGAGTTCCAGGTCAGGAATCGAACAGGGGAGAACCAATCATTCTGCCAGCATACACTTGGTTTGGACAGAAAACTTGCACATAACTGGTTGCACATACAAAACAAGAAAAATCATAGAGAAAACCTGTAGAAAACAAACTTCGAATTACAAAAAGAAACACTGCCAAAACTCAGAGAATGTGTCTCACAGAGACAACCGGAGAACGTGCATAAGTCAAAAATCACTGCTCAGTACAGCTGCCTTGTGCAGCACAGGAAGAACTGGGAAATCTTTGTCCCCTTTGCATTTCCGTGACTGTCACAGGCACAGGAAGGGGAACCTGGCAAAGGCAGCAAGCTCTGCGCTCTTTTCCCTCTCATCATCCGAGATCCACCCCAGGACGCACTCTTAGGAGAAACGTCACTCAAGATGACAGTAAGGGCTCTCAAGTTGGTGCCCTTTGCTGTCCACAAAGGCCAAGGTATGTATGTCCCATATATGCCCCTCTCCTCACACGCTGGACTTTCACTCCGTTCCGTTTACTGCGTACTTTCAGAAACAGCTCATCAGCCTTTCTAGAAAACTTTCTTAGAGGGCTGACTCTGGGCTCACTTCTCAACGCCTCTGTACCTTCCCAAGCCATGAAACAATTTGTATCTTCTATGACTCACCAGAAATTCTGGGAATCAGATTGTATACTTTTCACACTTTAGTCTCCTTTCCTCCATAACAGCTATAGTACACCAGTCACACAATGCTATATCCCTCCACGGAATCCCATCCTAACCATTCTTCTCACGTGCTCATCCCAAATCAGCTATTTGGTTTCTTGTAGTCTGACAGACTACCCAAGTACACACATACAAGCATGTGCAGGTATGTTTAAGAGTGACTGCATATTTAGGGAGCATATGGTGACACGGCGAAGAGATTTCATCTGCCTGCACCAGGGAAAGATCCATCACTCCTGAGAGGCAAATTCAGAAAGGATTTAGGCAGTTTAGGCAAAAATACAACACATTATACCATCCATGTCATAGCATCACATGTTCCATTCTAGGACATTTTCAGATGATACTCAGAACTTCTGTGAAGACTATCCTTACACCTTCTAGCTTAACTTAATTAACAAACTCTCTAATTTTAAAGACAGCTAGAATTTTAGTTTTGCAGTCCCAATTTGAGATGTCTTACAAGGGCCTGGAGATTTTCTGAAAATCAGGCTGGTCTGCAGCATCTTGTGTGGGACAAATTTAAATTCATACTCAAATTTTAAGGCAGCATGAAAAACACAACAGTAATTTCTGAAAATCCAGATCTAGAAATGTAACTGTGCAAGGTTCAAAAGGAAGAAAAAATACACAATACTGTAACACTTAAATGAACAAATAAACAATATTCTTAAAAAAAATCTCAAAAAATAATCTGGAAGAGCATCTCTCGATCTCAAAGTGTCAGCATTTCAAAATGAGATGTTTTGCAGGTTTGAGGACTGAAAAGTAACATTAAGCAAATGGTGAAACTGAGTATCTTCTCTACTAACAGAGAGCTCCTTGTTCTAACTCCTAGGTAAGTAAAAAACTGTTAAGAATATACCATTAGAATTGGGTAGAATTAGTGTTTGGTCTATGCTACTGGGGGGCATGGGAGAATAAGCTGAAAAGAGATGACAGAAACATTGCTTAGTGAAAATAATTTGGAAAAAAAAGATGCTAGATCCAACAGAATGGTTTGTAAGGTTAGAGTAAGTCTTGGAGATACAGATTAGAATAAATGTCAGAACAGCGCTTGAAGCAAATGATACTGACACAATAGATAACATACATAGTTAGTGTACATCTGACAGTCACATGGAACACACACTTCCAGTGACCAGAGGGTTAAGATTATCTTTCTTTTTTAGATCAAGTGTGGCCCTCTGACTTTGAACTGTTTACCAGATGCTGGGAATTAAAACAGTTTTTCTCATCCCTGCAAGTACCCGATCCAAAGCCCACTGAGGAATACAGAATTTTCTGTGTTGACTTCATTACGCTTTGAACTACAGCCCGTTGGAGAGAATTGGGACCTCTGCCAATGGTCACCTCAAGGGAGAAGAGCCTGCTGCATCCACAAGGCAAGGGAGCTCTGCAGTGTGACTGCTTTCCTAAACAAACTCTGCTTAGCAGCTATTTTTCTCTTCCATCTTATCAAATAACAGGAGACTTGTATCTGAGAACACTTAGAGCAACTCATCCTATGTTCTCTGGGGATGACAGTGTACACTGAAAAATGCTGGAGAGTTAATTCAATCTAGAAAGCACTCTCTTGCAAAGAATATCTCTGGCCAGCATTTACAACGGCTTTCTCACAGTATAGGATGACACAAAGAGTGCAAGGGCACTGTAAGTGCGTGCCACTGTCCTTTTTTATCACACAGACTCTCAAAAGATTGGAATCAGACTTTCCTGGGGGCGATGGATTAGAATGAATGTCAGACTAAAACTAAGAGCAAGTGATGCTTTTCTCCTCCTGCAAAATAGGCATACACTGCGTTCCTCCAACTTCCTTTCTGTTCAGTACACTCACTGACCTTGGCCACTGTCATCTATCCGTTAATTCTGTATTTTGCTGTGAGAAAACCAAAGTCTGAAAGAGGTTGATTAATTAAATAGTATTTTAAAAAAAAAAAAAAAAAAAAAAAAAAACCAACCAAACACTGTGGGGAGGCCAGAGACTGAAATCAGCCACCTGCAAAGCCCCAGAAAACCTGAAACTAAGTTTCTTCTGTGAAATTGCTTGTTTCTATTTCATGAGCCTTTTTTCAGGAGTTAAGAGCAGGGAGCACACACTATTATTTTTTGTAAGAGAGAAATGACCCTTAGCTTCTTATGATTAACATTCACAAAGCATCAAGTCTGGCCACAGGGTTAAACACGCTAACTAAACAACAACTTTCTTCTACCAGCATAATCTAAAGCAGCTAAGGCAGCCTTCTATGAGATCCTGTACAAAGCGTGCTCTCCAAGCCCTGCTCCTAGAGCAAATTAAGCAGCCTGTTTGACCTTGCTATCCTTGGAGAGAAACAGAAAATTTAACTTCATGAAGTGAAACAGGAGAAACGATATAATGGAAATTAAACAGTATCTTTCAGAGATTTTACTAACAGTATTATTGAACTGGAAAGCTATTCTCTGGCGCCTTAGAGATTTCTATGACACAGAGCGATTCCAGTTACATGATTTGTAACTTGTGAAGTTGCAACTTCCATTGGTACAAGTATATTACTGTGTTCCTTTACAGGGTAACATCACTTCAAGCATATAACAGTGCTCTATGGAGTACATTTTATTGGACAGAGCACAGGCTGTCTCAAGATTCATGCCTCTACACAGCAATTACATATCTGTGCTGATTACACAGGATCAGAGAAGAAAGAAGTTACTCCACTCAATCCACAAAAATATGAACTACTGGGATGTATTGCTTAGAGAATCATCACCTGATTACTGGCACTTTGCAAACTAAAGCTAATAAATTGCATTTGCAATATTCCTATGGCAACTGCGCCTGCACAGTCAGCTGGGAAACCGAGCTCTGGCTTCCCATAGTAATCAAGTAATGAAATTGTAGTAATAAACCTAGTTTTCCTCAAAGAGATTACTTCTGTTTGATCTGAAATGAAGTCCCAGCACCTAACAGGAGCTTTTAGAGTTCTTTCACTAACTGGTGATAGAACAGAGAATGTTTATAAATGATCCTGTTATTATCCTGCCGGCTAAGCTATGACAAGCAAACTAATATACTTATGAGGTCAGATGTGTAAGAATGACTCAGGTTAAGGTTCTACACATTTATGTGCATCTGTCATGATGTTTTACAAAATATACGGAGGGAAGAAAACAACATGTATTTGGGATGAGCTAGGCATGTTTTGGCAAGAGCAGCATTTTCGTGAGCTTTTGTATTAATATTAATCTCCCAGCCTCCCTTGAGTGCCAGCATAGTCCACACTGATTTAGAACTTCACTTTGTAGCAGTTTTCCTGTTGGTGGAGTCTGGTTTGAAGCAAACATTGTATAGCACAAGAGATCTTCTTCAGAAATATCTCATGTGTGTTTGAAAATGCTTTGCAATTTCCACGTGGGAACAAAATTACAGATGAATTTGGTTTGTATAGACGGACAATGGATATTTATTTGGTTACAGTCCCAGATGTAATCAAAATTATGGAAGAGCTTTCTTTCAAACTAAGAGCTTAGGTTGTTTGTGGAAGAGGAGCAAGCGGGTTTTTAAAGTGATCGAGTGCATCTGTAGCATTCTTTGTTCTCTTCCCCACTTCTGTCCACCTCTTGCTCTGCATTTCAGGTCTCAAAGTACTTGTAAATCTGGGCGACGTACTGCATCACACTCTGCCAGTCTGGCCGGTCTGTGTACATCATCTCACTGAGTTCCTGCATAGGACAGACATGTCGTCAGAAGTTGGGCAAGCACCACCACTGGGTCATCTGAGTAGCTGTGGCTATTACTTCTGTTTCCATTCCAGAGCTCCTTAAAGCCACATTAAAAAAGTCCATGAGAATGATCTGCTGGCCTAGTGCAATTCTGAAACTTGTTAACAAACCAGTAACCTGGCATATGCATTTTACATTCTGAAAAGATATTTTCCACCTGCAATCAAAGAACAGGTCTCTGTATAACTTCACTTAAACTGCTGCTTCTTAGCCTGTCTTTCGTTCTGTATTATTATCATGAACCCCATGATATTTTTCCCTTCATATTAAACTTACGTCTTCTTTGTTATAATATTGTTAATTTTTGAAAAGGCTTTTTAAACAGTTTAGCAAACAAATTATCCTTCTATTTTTTAAAATACTAAAACAAAAAGAAAGAAAATGGTCTAACAGGCAAGCCTGCCCATGAAAACAGGAATCGGCCTCCAAGAGGACAACATAATCAATTCTCTCATTTCAATACTAGACCTCCAGAAGTTCCTTCAAATTACATTAATTCTATGATTCTGGAAGACCTCCTTACACTCTGAACTTTCAGAGGTGGTGGTGCAGCTTTCCCGAGTGCTATGTGAACATTTTCAGTGCAAGCTGACTGACTGGCCACATTGCAACAAAGGTTTTGGAACTGTGGCAGCAAACCTTCCCTTGCCAAAAGGTTACTCACCAGGCTGGGTTTGATGCCTACACTTTCAGCAGCTTGAAATGCTAACAGCAGATTTCTTTTCTGTAAAAATATAATAAAAGTTCAAAACGATTATCATAAAAGTATGATTTCTGAACCCTACCTTGCATCTGGTTAATCAGTAAGGTTAAATGAGCAGCTGTATTTGAAAACAGAAACACACTAGATTCAACACTTTCACATAGATGCTTTTTTGTATTACTAAGTTATACACTCACAAACAAGTTCTTTGTCTTTGAATAACTCATCTACTTTTGCCCAAGTTACAGCCCTGTTTTTGACAAGTAGGTTCTTGTGAAACTGATTACAACTGGGAAAAAAATGCCAGTGAGGTTCTGTCTTTGTTATGAGTGAAAGGTTTCTGAAGAGGTGTTAACTAATATAAGGCATTCCTGTATATAGTATAATTCTTATTGTAATAGATACTAGCTGTCTGAAGTAAATCCAGGTTTGTTTAACCCTTTCGTAAGGGTCTAAATATCGTATCTGGAATGCACTGACGTGGTCTGACTTTCAGATACATTGCTGTCCAAGTAGTTTAATGAATGATCTCTCTGCCTACTGATCCAGCACTTTTAAGGTGTGCTGCTATCTCAGGAGTCCAGAAATGCTTTAGCCTTCCATAAGGGATGCTGTCTTCATGTTTATCCACAGCACTCACTGGATTCAGGCAACTTGTCACTAACTCATCCGGTAGACCCTGCAGTTCTCTCTGGGAGCTCACAGCTGGTTTCCTTCCCCTTTTCATCCAGACTGTTTGCTTTGTAACTTCTCAACTGACACTTGCCTCTTACTGTTGCTCTCATCTACTTATTTTGCATCAATCAAGATCTTGCAACACTGTGTCTCCACCACATATCGATCAAAATGGATAATGTTCACCCTGAATTCTGCAAATGGTGTAGGAGCAAGTACAACAAAACTTACTTTATCCTGGCTGTTGAGCTCCTGGTAAGGAATATGTGCAGGCAAATACGTGTGCAGAAGAGCGCAGAAGGCCAGCCCATCACTCCAGCTGCTGCTGAAGTTGGTAATATCAATATTCTGCAAAAGAAAACATGAACCATCTCTGAACAGTGCTACATAATTAAAAAAAAAAAATTCTCCAAACAATAGTTTTTATGCAGTCATGAAACAAACACTCAGAGTATTAAAGAAACATAGGTTTACATTTGCCATTCTCCCCTTCTTTTTCAAATCAAGTAGAAAGATGCCAAGCAGGATGGCAAGTTTCAGAGTCCTGGATAAGAGACTATTAAGGAGTCAAATGTTTTTCACACCAGGCCCCAAACAGAGAGACTCTCTCCAATGCTTTCTAGAAGGTGAAAAATACCACATGCAGAACATGCTGTAGCTGCAACTTTCCTGTGCTGGCAAGAGGATGGACCTTAACTGGTCTCTTTCAATAGCAGAAGTATGATTTCTCCAGCACCTCCAACAAAATTAATTTATATTTTAAACAGTGTTTTGAAATTGATTTCATGCTTCCTTGTCTCAGGATGTGTAACAGAGGGATGGATTTGTAGAATGATGAGGCAGTGTAATCAGTGTATTTGACCACTGTTATCTTTCTGATACTGAACAGCAAATACATGCTTTAATGAAAATGTGTAATTAACAATTATGACTTGATTCAGACCCTTATCAAAAGAGATATCAAACTGATGAAGTACTAACATAGTTCTCAAGCCCTTAATAAAGAATGTACGTACTTGTATGTGAGAGGGAGGCTCAAACTCGGCAGCAGCAATGGCTGAATGGGCAGCTTTCCAAGAGCTGGGCAGATGTGCCCAGGTTGCAGTCATTTGCCTGAATGCATGTCTGCATTCTCACGTTCTTTATCAATGCAGCATCTTTCATCTGCATATCACAGAGCACTTAAAAGGCAGATAAAGAATGGGAAGTCTGAGATATAGTATTTAATCATCTACCTTAACTCACAAAATGAGCCATAAGTAGCTGAGGAGAGAACAGAGGTTTCCTGATGTTCACTCTCCTACTACCATAGTCACTGACAAATAAATGTGGCTGCATCACTGGTAACAAGTACAATACAAGATCCTTATGGAACAGAAACAAACAAACTTTTCGATCTTGCCCTCACACATTTCCTAACATGACAATAAGGCTAAGTTTGCTCAAGGAAGCAATGGTTTCAGTGGGCATGGTTATATTAATAAATACACAATTGAGATCCCACAGTTGAGCTAGAAAAATCTCTGACTTGTCCGTAGAAACCCTCCCACCACTAGCAGCTCCAACAGGAAGGCAATGAAAAGGAAACATTTTGAAAGAAACAGTCTAATATCGTTGCAAGTTTAAATGGTCAAAAATCCACTTTCCTTCCTCTTGTTGCTAGGTGGTGGGATTCTTGCTAGTCACATAACTTATTACAAGGGCGCACTCAGTGCACAGGGGAAACCCAGTTTCCCTACTCATGGCAACTGAAGTCCAGAACATGCTATGTCCAACAGGTGGATTAGAGTGATTACAGAAAGTGATATTTTAAAATCAGCCCATCTGTAAGGAACTCCTTTAAAATACAGAGATTACTGGGGGTACAGAGTGCACTTGGGAATCTTCACAGGGATTTGCTTGCGAGGCACAGCCGTAGTTAAACGTATGCTTGTGGTGCAGTCTGATCCTGTGAACAAGATGACCTCTCTAATGCTCTTGCTTGCACTGACTGGCCATACCAACACACTAAGGAATTTTCATGACTAAGTTTTGCTGCTGTACTAGCAGCTGTAGTTCCAAATACCAGCTAAAAACAAAACAGTGACTTAAGTGATATTGCTTAGAAAAGTAACAGCTGCTGGAGCACCCAAGGCTCTGGGACATGACAATACTGCACCATCTCCCATTCTATGGCAAGTGTGAAGCTACCCTCAAATCATTCTCACCGGCCACATCTTCCTATGCTCTGAACTTCAACTCAGATTGACACTTCATTTTCTTCATTTAGCTACCGTCTGTTTTCCTACAAGATTCCCCATAAGACAAAGCTTTTACTGCATCTCTCATACAAGAGCTAATGCAGAAGCACTAAAACCCAGACAGGAAGTGTTTTAGCATATGCTCTTCACGTACAATGCTTCACTGATTAGTTGTCCAACCTGGACTTTGTCCAGTCAGACAGGATTTCAGATTAGTAATAAATGTCCATAATAAAACATGACTCAAATTGAAGCAATACAGAATATTGCACGTTAAAATACTCTGGCTGTAATAAATCTACAAATCTAATGGACTCAGAAAGCAGGCCATCAGCAGCAGACATTACCACACTGCACCAGCCACCACATTGTATTTTGCTCTATTAACATCTGTCAATGGAGATAAAAGAAAAGCAACGTAGTGGCTGAATACCATCACAAGAAAAAAATATTTTGCTCTGAAAGCTGTCTTGGCTTTCCTTAATCCATAAAGTTGCACCATGGAAGTCCAACTTTGTCTTATGGAATTGGCTGAAGCTGGATTACTTTGCTTTTTTGACATTTTAGACAAACAAATTAGTTATTATTTATCAATCTGCAGTTAGTGGGAAAGGACAGACTGCCAAATTATAAAAGTGTTTTTACTGAGGCCAATATGTTTTATCAGCAAATGGCCTACCATCAAATGACAATATCCTCATTTTATATTGTATGATAGAAAAGGAAAATGGAGGTGGCATTTCCCCCCCCCCGCCAAAGGCTACGGAAACTAGAACAAAGCAAGCCTTAGCTAAGCAACAGGACTAGACAAAAAGGCAAGTCATGTTTGTGTGGGAACATGATATCGTATCCTCGTTTTCATGATGCTATTATGAGACACATGTGAGATGCAAAACTATTCCTTCTTTCTTACAGTATTTCACCAGACCAGCATCGGTTTGATAATTTTACTTGGCTTTGTAGTTTTAACTATACCTAAAACACTTTTCCTCCTCCCATCTAACAATATCTAGAGATAAGGAGTGCTAATGTCTACAGTAAAATCAGAACTAGGTCCAAAAATCCTCACATCTCCAACAGCATCATCCAGTTAGTCATCTTCAGTAATTCTTGAATTCTTCAAGTCTTACAAACAAGCAAAAGTTCAAGGATGGGGTTCTGCTGACAATATTTAAACCACAGATGAAGTCTACTGCAAAGTGGTATGACATGATAAACAGAGTAAACTAACTCAGATCTCAATTTTTGCCCTAAATGCAAACCAAAAATAAATGTTTGAAGGTTCAGCTCAACTCTTCAGTTAATGATACAACAACAAACACTTAGACATACTCAAAACCACTTAGTTGCCATTTTCACATCCAAAAAGCATCAGTGAATTGTGTTTTTTTCCTCTAAACAAATGCATTTCCATTTCTTACATGGTCTAAACCCCTCTCTGGCATTTCATCTTGGATTCTGTATTAACTACTTTTCAGTTTGGGATATAAGGACATGGCAAATGAAAAGTGATCTTCTGTGTTTTGCCACACTGCAGGTTTACTTGTAATACCTCCTCACTATGCCACACGACGAATTAGGTCAAAATAGTGATACTCTGATTTCTCAGAAGGTCTCTGGCTCCACTGAAGTCAGGAAAAAAAAAAAACAAAAAAAAAACAACACAACAAAAAAAACGAAACGAGAACAATTTAGGGAATGAACACCTTGGAAACTATTCACTTCTCTTGATTATTTTGGCAGTGGAACCAGTCTCAGTCTTTCTGCCACACGTCTCTCTTCCTCAACACAGTCCATGAATATATAGGAGCTATCTGTGTACATGCTGGTTGCTAATGTATACTTGCAAACTGCAGGATGGAAGAGTTTGGTGATTTCTGTGTCTCCCAGTGTGCTTACAGCAGAACTCCCACCCCAAGCTCTGAAAAACTGCATGTGGTTTCTTATGAGAGACCTAGAAGTTAATCTATATAGGATGGTACCCTTTAGAAGAAAGATACACCATCAAAGTGTATGCAGAATGAATGTAGGGAGAAATATTAAAATGGAATAGGAACTGCAGATCAACTGAGCTGTAGTGTTCATTAGGCAGGGTGAAGGATTTGCCATCTTATGGTCACACTACATCTGATGGTCACTAGTACCCCAACGACTATCCTGAGCATGCCATCAGTGCTAAAGATGTCTGTACCAAAGATTAACCCCTGGCCCATGGGTCAAGAGGTTCTGAGTAGCTTAGGCCTGCAGCACTCAGGGTTACTGGATTCATCTGGAGCAGATGTATCACATCCATATTATGCAGCACTTGACTATGCTGCTAAGAAAATAATTGGAGAGGTGGGGGTGGTATAGTTGAAAATTTTGAAAGAACATGAAAGTCAGGCCAGAAGAGGGGTGTTTTTATAGCATGACAATATAACCATCTTTACATACCCTGTGTGGAGTGGGAAAAAAGGAGCATAGAAAGATGTGAGGGTACAAAGTTTGCTGGGCTAGTGGTAGAGCACTGTGTAAAGCACAGAGGTGTCCAGACTAAACTATTTCCAGTGTAGTTCCCAGGCTTCTTGTCAGTGAAAATAGTTCATTCACTTCAAATGAAAGCTCATGAGTGCACTGGGAATATTAAGAGACTGGGATCTGGAAGCATACCAGAGTGCAGTTTTCTGAAAGTACCAAAGTACCCAGTATGGTTCATTTCTATGAATATTAAAGTACCTGACATTAAGTTAAAAAAAAAAAAATCCAGGCAATGTTATTTAGAGAGCAAATTTATTATCTATTATACTAGTGACAAGCCAAGTCTAAAAGACAGTAAGCACCTGCAAGTCATTAACCTTAGCCCCCCACCCCAAGAACAGGACCTTTGCTTGCAGATAACAGGGCACTACAAAAGCCACAGGAAAGACACAAAGGGAAATCTGTGTGATCTGTTCTCACTAAAAACAATTTATTGTTTATCTGAGGAAAAAACAACCACACCATTAGATTTCACCAGATCTTTGACTATTAAGTCTTCAGTAAAAAGCAACAATGACATCATACACACATTACAGCCCGAGAATGTTAAAATACTGACACAAGATATTCCCACTACGCAGATGTTACTGT